CCAGAGATTGTACCAGGTTGTTGGTCATGGATTAGGTATCTCTTCTCGTTCTTACACCACCCAGCGCCTTGACAGTTGAAGACTCCAATAACTCCGGTGTATTCGTTCAGGTTCCATATTTTCATAAGACTTGCAAGATTTTATCAACACCAAGTCATCAACTGTTTAATTATTTTTTATCCTTGAAGCTTCTTTCTCAAGAAAGGTAAATTAGGTTATATAATATACCTTTTATTGTCTCTGACTGGATCGCTGAAGAAGCAATCACTGGTTGGTCTTCCCGGAAGCTTTGCCCTAAGTATGGAACCGTCTCGAAGTACAAGTTTCCTTAGGAGGTTGAAGTCATGTTGTCCCGGTTTGTCGCTATTAACAAAGATTTGAATTGAAATATCTACAGAGTTAATTACTTGCAGCCTAAGTTACTTTTGTTTGTTTGTGAATGTTCTTTAATCTCATGACTTACCTGACATAAATGGCACATCCACCAACCGCTCTAGCTGCTGCATGGTACTCAGCCATCGGATGCAAACTCTGCAGTCAGACGACACAATATAGATTCACATTGATTCTCTAACAAAGTTCTAAAAACGTTGTATCAAGTTAACGTACATGGAACATGTCCCAATCCGGCTGCATAAACTCGCCAAGGAAGAGTGTGTTATACGCAACAGATGCAATGTGGATCGTGTGCGATGCAGGATCTCTAGGCCAAAAGTCATCTGATGCCCTTATAACAGCCGTCTTCTTTGCGCTGAATATATCATTATATTACAAGAAAGAAATTAAATCACAATGATTTGAAATGATTGTAGATAACTTTAGAGGTCTAGAGTATTCACCTGTAGAGACCATCTGTGTTATGACTCATGCAAGAGATAATACCATTGTCAGGGAAGTTTCTTGAAATGGAAGCTTCCAAAGCATGGTGATACTTCTTTGCAAGTTTCACACGACCGCCATGTCCAGCTCCAAGAGTTTCAAGAATGTTCTGTACGTCGACTTTGACACCATCGATCCCAACGGATGCAAGGTACGAGTGAAGGTCGTTATAGAAGCTAAAGACTTTCTCAGGATTCACCAAACCGAGTCCGTTCTTGGTTATGCTTTCAAGACAGCCACATTTCTCGTTGGACATAACTCCTGGGGAAGAAACTGGATAGGAAACCTTTGATTCGTAATGCTCCATACCGGAAACACCCGGTTTAACTCCTCCCCAATACCCGGTTATCGCGTGCCAAACGTAAACATACTTGAGGGAATTGTTACTCTTGATGTCTTTGATAACGTGTCCAAGACTCAATGCAGGGTCGTCTACTCTGTGGCCTTCTTTGCCATCTTTTTGAAACTTGTGATTCTCCTTTATGTGTGTTAATCTGTTTGCGAAACTGAAAGAAGCACAACAGAGATTAGACTAGAGACATCCAAATATGTTCTAATGTGATTATTATGCTTGCGAATAGAGAGCTTACTTGGCAGCATTATCAGCGTTGAATTCAACACTGGTCTCATCCATGGCAACAGATTGCCATCCGTCATCAATTATAACGAACTTTGGGCTAATCCCACCGGCTTCAAGGCTGCATGGAATTGTTACATGTAAGAGCCATCTAAAAAAGTATGATTCTGAGCCAGGGACAGAGACTAATAATGAAGTATTGTACCTCTCAAGACCTTGCTTGACGTCACTGGCAGTGACATTGGTGTAGAATGCATCCCATGTGCACCAACCGAACCAGTTCAACATATCTGGCATCTAAAACACCAAAACAATAACAGGGAAATTTTTGGTTTTATAATTAAAGATCACCTGAAACTTAAAAATAAATATGAAAGTTTTACAAGTTTCATTACTTTCTTTTTCTCGCGGTGTGAAAATGTCTGGAGATGTTGTTCAACAGCCCTGCCATATCATAGTAGCACAAAAGATTCTTTAAGACTAAAAAATTGGATGTAAAGAAATTCAAGAATAATGAAAGCCTTTAAAAAAACAAATCAAGAATTTGAGGTAAGAAACGTTACATACTTGACAGCTTTCGTGATGACATCAAAAGGGTCGGATCCAGCAGCCACGAAAACCAAATGATTCCCTTCGAATTGGTCAACGTTTGGATCCCCTAACCATATTCAAACCATATAGAGATTCATCAGAGACAAACCAACGAATGACGAATCTAGCCGTGTGAAATAAGTAGATTTATACCGCTTTCGAGACAAATCTCAAGCTCATTTGACTCGTTCCCTTGAAGAACAGCTCTAAAATCTCCTTCTAGTATAGGCAAGAATACAACGTACGAAGCAGAGTGATCAGCTCCTAAATCAGACCCTTTGTTTGCTTCTACGATTAGAAATTGGGTCTCGCAAGGAATCTCTTTCCCGTTTGTTCCCATTCTTTGCGTCATCCACCATAACTTGAATCGGAACACACACATAAACCGCAAGTCTCTGAAAGTGTTTCATTGCCAAATGCTTACATTAATTTAACAACAGATAAAGAGATGTGTAAGAAATGAGAGTAGATGAGTAGGGACAGTACTCGAGTTTCCCGAAAGGGAAGACACGGTGGCTTCCGGTTTGATCCGACGCGACGCCGATGAACGCGCCGTCGATGAAAGCGTTTCCTGAAGCTGGAGTTACCAACACATTCTCCGGGACGCCGCGAAGAACACGGTGACCTAACACCACCAAGTCGGAGTTGCTGACGCTGATTCCGGCACCGACGGTCATTGTTCCTTGAACGGAAAAAAAAATCAAAATCTGGGTGATACGGAAAAAAATAATGAAACCTCGAGACTCACGACTCTCGTAGGTTAGACAAGAGTAGCGTGAAAAGCGTATTTATAGAACGAGATGGCGTTTATAATTTGGTATATTTATTTGAAAAAAGGAGAAATTTTTGTGTTGAGATTGTATGGCATAAATCTGGAAACGTACTCTATTTTTTTTTATTGTTTTTCAACTATCTTAATCAAACTTCTTTTAAGAAAAAAATGATAATCATAAGCTTATATAGCTAACGTGGACGCGAATGTAAGTGCTGACATTTATTTAACTCATGATGAAGGATATGACTGCTGACTGTGTAATCCGTGTCGAATCTGATGTTTATGTTATGTTGTTATTTTATGTCCAATCTTCTCTCTCTTTTTGCTTATAAATAACGTGTAGTAAGGGATTGTAAAACACGTTTGTCCACTTACCATACTAATACTAATAACAATTTAAATTTATTCAAGATATACATATACGCTAACATGAAAATCTAGATTTATTTTGAACTTAAAAAAAATCTGAAACTAGTTAATAAAACATGATGAATCAGATTAAAATTCACAAAAATGCTTCTAATTCTTAGAAATGGATAAACGATATGAACCAAGCGAGCAATTGGGATGTTGTTATTAATTAAATGTTAATAGATGTCCCCCGATCGGTTATGAAAGCTGTTTTCTCCCGATCGTCGGGTGCATCTGGATCTGGTTGTAACCGGAGAAAGCATCCATGAAGGATAGTAGCTCGTTCCCTGCCGTTGCCTCTACGAGCCGATCGATATGCGGGAGCGGGTAGCTATCTTTGGGGCACGCCTTGTTGAGATCGGTGAAATCCACGCAGACACGCCATTTGCCGTTCTTCTTCTTCACCACGACCGGGTTCGCGAGCCAGTCCGGGTAACGCACTTCGACGATAGAACCCGCTTTGGATAGGCGCTCGACCTCGTCGTTTACCGCTTGAGCGCGATCGTGGCCCAACTTTCTCCGCTTCTGTTTTATCGGTTTGAACGTCGGGTCGACGTTTAGCTCGTGGCTGGTAACGGCTGGGTTGATGCCGACCATGTCATCCGTGCTCCATGCGAAGGTGGACGCGTTCGCCCAAGAAGGTGAGCAGTTCGTCCTTAACTCGGTCGAGATTTCCGTGCCGATCCCAACACAGCGTTCTGGATCCCGGTCGTCGATGTTCTCCTGGCTGACCAACTCTCGAGGGGGCTCGCTCTGGGGCGGGAGGCTGGATTCGACGGTCGGAGAAGCTGCGGCGATGACGCAGGTTTGGGATGAATGACGTAGCTTGTGCTCGGCAACGAAGCATATTCTGACATCTCCTGACTTCCTCGGATCGTGACGGTACCGTTCGGCGTTGGGAACTTGAGGCATTGGTGGTACGTCGAGGCGACCGCTTTTAGTGCGTGGATCCAGGGGTTCCCATGATCGCGTTGTAGATTGCCGGCTTGTCGACACCACGAACTTGACGATCTTGGTGACCTGTCCTACTCGTACCGTCGAGTTTGATGGTGCCGACCGTCATGGTGGTGTCTCCGGAGAATCCTGTCAGAGGCTTTTTCTTGGGTTTTATTCGGCAATCCTGGAGTTCCATTTTTTGCAGTGTTTCTTTGAAGATGAGGTCTACGGTGCTGCCGGTGTTGATCAATACCCGGGTGACTTCGCAGTCGCCGATCATGAGTTCCATTACCAGAGGATCGTTATGCGAGGTGTGGAGACCGTTGGCGTCCGAGTCCTTCAAGGAGATGATGCTTGCCTCGTCGAGTTCGGCACCGACGTCCTGCTTCCACTGTTGAGCCATGGACGTCTTCCTTCCATAGTCCTTTATCGAGCGCACCGAGTCGTTGCAGGTCGGCAAACCGCCCATGATCATATTGATCCTTCGCCTCGCGGGGATGGTGGCGACGGGCAGGCGTTCGTTTCCTCGTGGTTCTGTTTCTGTTGATCGGCGTTTTCTCTGTCGCGACTGGGTCCTGCGGGCGGGAATCTCCTGGTCTGGGGTTCCGACGCTCCTCCTTGGACGTTCGGAGGCGGACGATTCGGGTTCCTTTGAAAAGAGGCTGGATCGGATCCCGATATCTCCCCGTTGGTGAATTTGCCGAGGAGGTACTCCTGCAAGTGTCGGCATTGCGCTGTAGCGTGGCCAGGGCGCTTGTGGTAGTCGCAGTAGGACTGCGAAGATCCTTCTCCTTGGGCCGATCTTGGGTCGGCCGGGCGGACGTATTTGTTCCACTGGGGGCGTTCTGACCATGATCGGTCCAGCTGGCTTGGCTTGGACGTAGCAGTTCGTGGCCCTGCGTTCGGCCTCGTTTTTCCGGTAGCTCCTGTCGTAATGCTGCCTTGGTTCGTAGTGCTCTTCCTTTGGTTTCTCCTTGGGTGCCTGCGTTTTAGTGGGGGTGTGGCGTTTTGCCATGGCAGTCTTTTCTTCTTCCAGGGCGATGAAGATGTTGGCTCGGCATAGGGCATCTTCCAGCGCGGATTGTTGAGTATCAGGTCGTCGCGGAAAGCCGATTCGTACCATAGCCCGTTTTTCAGCGCCGGGAGGCTTTGGTGACGGTTGCCGTGAGGCGCGAGGCTACGCCTTTGAACTTGTCGATGAATTTTCGCAGGGAGTCCTTTGGCCCTTGGCTGAGTGCCCACAGGTCGGCGCAGGAGCTCCTCTTCGGATGTACATAGAGTACTGCTTCAAGAAAGCGGTGGTGAGTTGGTGATAGCTGTCGATCGATCGGCTTTCTAACCTCGAGAACCAAGTTAAGGCCGATCCCGAGAGATTCTCGACGAAGAGTTGGCAGAAACCAGCGTCTCTTTCCTCTTCGGAAAAATGGGTTCGGCCCATCGCGATGCAGAAAGCCGTCAGATACTGTCTTGGATCGGTGTTTCCTTCGTAGGGGGGTATCTTCAGCTTTCCCGGGTGGTGGACCGGAGCGTGGCCGATCCTGTCGGTGAAGGGGGTGTTCTGTGCCTCTCGAAGCACTTGATCGATTTCCGGAGCAGAGCTTGTCGCTTGGTGGATTCGGGAGTTCATGTTCTGGAGCTGGCTCTGCATCCGCCGTATTTCATACTCGTGGCCGTTCCATTCGGCGTTTTCCAAGGAGTAGGAGATGGTGTTTGCGCAAGATGGCCCGCTGTGCCGATCATGACGGTTGGTGGCGTAGGGATTCTCGCCGAAGAGGGTTCTTTGCGTGGGCAATGGCGGGCCGGGCGTTCGAAGATGTTCTGGTGGGAAGCGCGATGCTTGGAGTTCGTTAATCCGGGTCTGGCTGGACATCTGTGCGGCGAACAGGTTGTTAAGACGGTTGTCTGTGCCTTGCGCGAAGTTGTCGAGCCGTGATAGCAAGGTTCGTAAGAGTAGCGCGGTGCCGGCTTCCTCCGTTCTGTTGCGTTGCTTGTTGGTTCTGGTGGATCGGTATCTCGTTGCGTTCGGCAGATTTTGCTCAGAAGAACTAGGATGCTCTTGTGCCGAGCGTTGTCAGGTGGGCGGTTGGTCGGCCCGATGAAATTATGTGCCGAGATCGGTTGGTCGGCCCGATGAAATTATGTGCCGAGTCGGCTCGGTCCTCTGGTCGGCGGGGGCCGATGAATGTTTCGTGCTGCCGGGCTGTCATGCTGCAGCTGGTGGGAGAGATCGGTTTTCGACTACCGATTGATGCCGATCCGCTTTGCGTAGAGAAATGTCTCGATGCCCCACGGTGGGCGCCAATTGTAAGAGTTGAGATGGTTCGGTTCGGCAAAACAAGTAATGAGGGGATGTGGGTCGAGACTTTCGTATTAAAAGTAAGCGGGATCGCAATTACAACAGAGATCGGTTGAAAGACGATCTCTTTTAAAATGAGACAGAGCTCGGCAAAAGAGACAGAGCTCGGCTGATTCTAATGTGTTAAATGCTAAGCTTTCTCTCTCTAACTTTTCAACTGTCTTGTCAATGAATAATTAGTGCGCTATTTATAGCTTGAGGGGACGTTCGGACCAGCGGTCCTTAGGCGCTCGGACCAGCGGTCCTGGACGATTAGATGGACCTCTTGATTTGGGCCGGCCCATATGGAGGGATGCTAAGCCCACCTCCAACAAGTATCAGCTCCGTTGGATGCATAAACAGAAGAAATACATGGGAACCAATACCGACGTGTACCATCTTTATGACCATCGTCAATCGCAAGAGCCTCCTGAAATAAGTATTGAATAACATTAAACATCACATGTACTGAAGAAACACCAATATAAAAAATGGAGAGCAAAAGACGACATTACTTCTAACAAAGTTTTGAGGGCATCTATAACTCGACCAGATGTCCATGAGTGTTGTCTTTGTACCTCTTCGGCTCTTCCACAGTCACATAGCCTTGACCCTGAAAATCCACAACCCCATTTCAGCTCTATATATGTTAACACTGTGAAGAGATATTTTGGCTTTTCTTCTGTTATGTTTAATTACCTGAGCCAAGTCTAAGATTTGGTTATGGTCTTTGTTTAACTCAGTGGGGACTAAACGGATGGACTTTTTCTTGCCTACTGTGAAGATAACCTCAAAACTGTCATGTCCAAGATATCAGCAAATACAGTTTAACTTCTCCTTTTTCTATTAAGATTTGAAAGATTACGAGAACTCAATGAGGGGTGATAACTGATAGCCTTTACTTAAAAAAGTGCTTAGATGTTACTTTAAGTAAATAATGAAGAAACATAACTACCAAAAAATCAGAGTGGCGCAGCATTCGTATGGACAAAATCAAAAACAGTTTAAAGTTAAACTCATTTATATATCAATAAGCATAGCCAACCTGTTACAAAACATTTACTCCGTTTCAAATTAAGCATAGTCAACCCGTAATTATTTAGATGTATCTGCAATGCAAACCACGTCTAGATATGTCTAAATATTTGCAGATACATTTTGCCAAAACGACAACTAATTTGAAATGGAGAGAGTATAATATAATTTAACTAATTATATCAATATATTACAAAACCACAGTAAAAATATTAACGTCAGACACGACAGTATTTAAACCATTTACTCCCTCAATAGAGTATTCAGTTTTCTTCTTTTCAGTCAACAATTTTTACTGTCCGATGACTATGCATAACTCACGCTATAAAGGCTGGATTTTTAAGAATATCATTCTACAACGAACACATTCATTTTCTATTTCAGAACAATTTTGAGAGCATGTGCATCACAGAAACTGTTAAAGTTTCTTTGATCTTTTTTTTCTTTTACAAAAACTGATTTTCTGAAAGAAAAAAAAATCAAAAAAGAAAAAACCAAAACCCATTCGGATTGTAACACATGTAGTTACGTGTCAGAGAAACGTTTCTATAATCTCTTCGTGAAGAGATTACTCTCACCTGAAAGCTCGCCATGTAGATATATGTTTGTTTTTTCCTTTTTTTTTTGTTTTTAAAGAAACCCAGTTGATTTCTGCGATGCACATACTCTGAACCACCACACAAACAATCTTCCACATTTATTCAACAAACACATAAGCGTTGAAAGTGAATCAGATTCTATGGCTATATTCAAACTCATTATTCAACTGTGCAGTACTCATGCTTTAATGACCTTGTGTTTACGAGCGAATTCTTCAAGTTGGGATCGGAAGGTGGAGAATTGTTCCTTCATGAGATTTGTGCGTAGTTTCGCAACAATTTTTTCCAGTAAACTGTATTGATCCTTTAAAGCAGTGTTTTTAAAACCGGACCGGGAGGTGAACCGGATAAGCATTCGATGGTTTGACCGGATTGAACCGGGTTCAAAAATTATTTATTTTAAATTTATAAAATTTAAAATAAAAATAGAAATAGTTAAAAATTGATATATAGATATAAATATAAATATAATAGTGTTAGAAACTTATATTTTCATTGTTCTAATTAATTATTTATAGTATAAACATATACTCCCTCCGTTCCTTAATATTTGATGTTTTAGAGTTTTCATATAGATTAAGAAACAATTAATGATTAACTTTTATTGTATTAATTTTTCATTTTAAATAAATATTAACCAATAAAACTTATAGAATTCTCTTGAAATTTGCATTTTTTTACATTTATTAGCAAAAAGTAACTTTAAAAAGTTAAAACATCAAACAATATGGAACAAAGAAGAAAAGCTTAAACATCAAATATTAAGGAACAGAGGGAGTATAATTTTTTTAAAAATCAAAATTGAAACAAATATTATAAAATAATTAATTTATTTATTATATTAATTGTTTTTAAACCAGACCGGAAATTCAACCCGGTTATATGTCCGGTTCATGGTCGAACCCGGTCCGACCACCGGGTCGGTTCGGTTTTCAAAATACTGAAGATACAACAAAAAGGAGAATGTGGTATCAATCACTATTGAACAGAGATGCAAATATTGTACCAAGTACTAAAGAAAAAAATAGTTTGTATGAATCATTGAATATTAATAAATTTCTTGTTTTTTTTTGTAACATCTGATATTATTAGATAGTGAACGGAGAATACAAATATTCAGTCATCCAACTTGGAGGACAATTATACACAGAAAACGAATTAACAGATTGAGAATCGTATTTTGCTAATAGATCAGCTATTTGATTCCTTTCCCTATTAACATGATCTAAAGAGCAAAGAAGAAGCAGGCTTATCCAATGCCGGATATCTACTAAGATATTACCCAGTTCTGTAGAGCTCTCCTTCTTGTTGATGATGTTTACCAATTGAAGATTATCTCCTTCGAACCATACATTGTGAAGCCCTTTGCTCCAAATCCTTTGAGTAACGTAAAGGAAACCATTAGCTTATGCCTGTAAAGGTGAATCGACTTGATTGAGTTTTGCCTATCCTGATTCTATATAGTTCCCCCTTTCATCTCTGATGATCCAACCTACATCCATGAAATCATCGTTTTCCTTAAATAAACTATCAAAGTTACATTTTAGCCAACCTTGTTGTGGAGGCTCCCATTTACTCGACAATGGTCTTCTTTCCTCCTTTTCTTGATTCAAAACATTTGGGTTTGCCACAATCCACTCCGCTACTCCTTGTGTCCCTCTGTCGACATCTTCTTGTGGATGTACATTTCTTTGTGCGAATAGAAACTCATTTCTTGATTTGCAGATCAACCAGACTGTCCAGAACGGTAGTAATCGTTTCTCCTCCATCAAGTTTTGCAAATCTTTAATCTGAAACATTTTCCACATGTTGTCTTCTAGATTTATCACTCCCCCATCGAACTGCGAAAAACCTGCACATCTCCATATTGCATTTGCATGTTGACATAAAAAAAGAACATGGTTAATTGTTTCTTCATGAAGACAACATCGTTGACAAACCGGATCTATCGATAGAGTTTTTGAACATAACCTTTCTGCTGTTGGTATAGCTCTTGCCACTGCTTTCCATATGAAATGTTGAATCTTTGGTGGTATTTGAAGTTTCCAAATCTCTTTTTTAATGCCAAGGAACCCAATGGTGGCTCAATCTGATCATCATCATCCACCATGTGTGTTGCTACCCAGTAACCCGATTTGACGGTATATTCACCATTAGCCGTGTACGACCAGAATACCTCATCTTGACTTGCAGACCTTGATAATCTTATCGTCTTAGCCACAGCTGCATCTGCCGGAGTGAGTACTTGGTCAAGAATGGTGTTATCCCATTCCCTTCTTCCTGGTTTTCATAGCTCATCAACCTTGGTATATTGATTTTGAATATTTCGCTGGGGTGGTCTTGGTGGAAACACTGGTAGCCAATGATCTTTCCAAATATTTGTATCCGTACCATCCCCTAATCTGATCTGTAACACTTTTTGAAGCAGTTCTTTCCCTGCTTGAATAGATCTTCATCCATATGATGGATTGGTTCCACACATTGACTCTAAGAATGTCAATGAATTGTGGCATATGCCTTTATAGATTCTGGAAAGTAATGAAATTGGATTAGTATTGATCTGCCACGCTTGTTTTCCCAGAAGAGCTAAATTGAACCGATGTAAATCTTTAAAACTCATACCTCCTTCGTTCTTGGGGATAGACAGTCTCTCCCATGATATCCAAGAAATTTTACGTCTTCCTTGCTCATTTGTACCCCACCAAAACTCTGATAGTGAACTGTTAATCTCCTCACAAATCTGCTTAGGAATCAAAAAACAGCTCATCGAATATACTGGTTTTGCTTGTGCCACCGATTTGATCAAGACTTCCTTTCCGCCTTGACTTAAATACTGATTATACCAGCCTCCAACGTTGTCTTTCACTCGTTTCACTATTCCTTGAAAGCTCTCTGGTTTCCTCCTTCCAAATTGCTCTGTTAAACCAAGATATTTGCCACCCCCTTCTAATTTAGTTATCCCCAAAATACCTTGAATGACATTTCTTCTGTGATTATGAATACGATTTCCAAAAGTGATCGAGGATTTCTGTAAGTTAACTTTCTGACCTGAGATGGCTTCATAATCCTGCAGTATTCGTGCAATCCTTCTACAGTCTTCATAACTTGCTTTACAGAAAAACAGTGAATCATCTGCAAACAAAAGATGTGATACCGTTGGACAATGTCTTGCCAGCTTCATTCCGCATAACTCCCTTTTCTGCTCTGCTTGAGAAAGCATTTGAGATAGTGTTTCCGCACATAATAGAAAAAGATATGGTGATAAAGGATCACCTTGTCTAATGCCTCTACTTGGTTGGACATTTCCAAAGTCAGATCCGTTGATGATGATAGAAAATGAGATTGAACGAACGCACGCCATTATCCATCCAATCCATTGACTAGCAAATCCCATCTTCCTCATTACCTCTTCAAGAAAATTTCATTCCACTCTGTCATAAGCTTTGCTTATATCCGTTTTGATGGCTAAGTATTGCTCTGACGAATCTCGTTTTGACTTGAGCGCATGCATCAATTCATGGGCCACCAGGACATTGTCTGTTATGTTTCTGCCTGGAACAAACGTTGCTTGAGAGTCAGAAATTATATCCCCCAAAATCCCTTTCAAACGCATGACTAGGATCTTAGAGATAATTTTATAACTCACCGTGCACAAACTGATTGGTCGATAGTCCGCAATCTTATCCGCATCTGTTATTTTCGGCAATAAGCATAGATGAGTGTGATTGATTCCCGGTTCCATAATGCATGTCTCAAAGAAACGCTTTACCAATAAACATACATCAGAACCAATCTCCTCCCAAAAATGACGATAAAAGGAAGCTGTAAATCCATCTATACCTGGTGCTTTGTCTGGTCCAATGGAAAATACTACTTCTTTAATTTCTGTGTCTGATATTGGCCGTGTAAGAGCCGCATTCATCTCTTGTGTGACCCTTTGATCCATTGTAGGAGTAATATCGTCTACTGGTAATGTGATAGAACCTGTAAACATATTTCTGAAGTAGTCTTCAGCTACTCTCCCTATTGCTTCATCTTTAGTGTGGATTATTCCTTCCTCATCCACAATCTTCTTGATGCACGTTCTCGGTTTTCTTGACTTCGTCACTCCATGAAAGTAAGCCGTGTTCAGGCCACCCGCTTTTAGCCATTTTGTTCTGCTTTTCATATGCCAAAAGATCTCTTCATTACGATAAGCTCTATTGAGGTCTGATCGTAGCTTTCGTAATTCCCAAACCGACACATTAGGGTCTCTTACAGCCCTATCCAGCAAACCTCTGATGAGCTGAATATCTTCTGCCGCATTGAACCAATGTCTTCTTTTCCACTTCGCCATCTCTGTTCGACAGTTTTTCAGTTTCACCATTAAGTCTTGTATTTGAGCAGTCCTGTTTGTCCAGAAATCCTTAACTGTATTAACAAAATCCTCCTCCTGAACGAGCCGCTTATCATACCGAAATTGACCCTTCTTTATCCTCTCAACATACTCAATAGACATTATCATTGGTATGTGATCTGATTCACCAATATCCAAAAATTCTGTTTCCGATATCCATTCAGAATTTGCCATAACCCTATCTAAGCAACACTCAACAATTCCATCTCTAGTGTTACCTACCCAACTAAAAGGATTCTCTTTGGATTTATTATCTTGCATATCACAGACTTCTCTCATTCGCTTGAAGTTTCTGAAACTACTTTCAGCTCTAATTCTTCCTCCTCTTTTCTCTAAGTTGCTTATAATCTCATTGAAATCTCCACACATCATCCAAAGACCATTATGTGTGGCTGCAAGCCTTTGTAATTTTTCCCACAGATAATGTGTTTGGCTTGGGATTGGGTGACTATAGACGCAGCTCAAATAGAATTGAAAAGCTTTATAATCAACTTGAAGATCTACAATGCGAGAATCAGATGAAATACAAGAAACTGAAACACAATTTTTCCAAAACACCACTAAACCACCACTTAAACCATTTGGAGAGACTATCTTCATCTGATCATATCCAAGTTGAACGCCAATATCTCTCACATAATCATCGGTCTTCTTCATTTCGATTAGGAACAACAAGTCTGGGAGATACACCCTTTGTATCTCTTTAAGACGTCGAACTGTGAGGGATTTCCCTAGCCTTCGACAGTTCCACACCTCAACTCTCATGGAACAAGTGGTGTTACCGGGCCCACCGCGCCTCTGTCTATTGAATTCAGGCTTGGGAATGGGGTTCCTGATCCCATGTAATCCGCTTGTAGTTTTCCCAATGAGTCTTGTTCCTGACCAATCTCAGCTGATTCTGACGCTTCTCCACTCAACCTAGCTTTCTTCATCGTTGGTTCTGGCTCCGAATTTATCTCTGCTAAGACATTGTAACCCATAAAACTACCATACTGCTCAAACGAACATCATTATCCATTCTACTTTCCCATTGCAGTATAATATGATGATGATCATCATCAGAAAGAACTTTACCAGAATTTGGAGGCTCTGCGATTCCCTGAACATATCCTCCACTAACGCATCCACAAAGCATCTCTTCCTCTGCACCTGATCCTCAATTTTTTCTGGGATTGGGCGTGCCATCTCTTCTGTGAATGGGATTGGGGAACTATCATCTGCAGATGAAAACTCCCCTACACCATTGTAATCCTCCAGAATATCTCCATTGATAACTCCTGCACCCGCCGGGTTTGGCTGGTTTGGTTGTTGGATCATTGGATCCGGTATGTGAACATGTTCCTCCTCCATCTGGTTGCCATCGTCATCATCAGCGTCGTCATTGTCATTGTTGCCTGGTGAGTGGGCATCATCATTCGGGATGCATTCGCCAGTGTCGTGTGTAAGCATTCCACATCCCTCGCAGAATCCCCTCAACTGTTCATACTTGAACTTGAGGACCGTGTTTACACCATGTGTAAACTGATAGTTCTTCTGTAAGCGCAGTGGATTCGTCACCTTCCACAAGATTTTCGCTCTCACGAATTGGACCGCTGCCGATGCTTCTGGGATGATATTGATTGTGTCCACATAACCCAAGAAGTCACCGATGTGATAGATCACATTTCTTGTCAAGAATTGGATTGGGATTCCTCTGATCTGAACCCAAAATAGAATGATATTCAGATCCGAGTCATCCAAATCCGGCTTCCATCGTTGAAGCACGAGCATTCGTTCACCATAGGCCCAGGGTCCTCGATTCAATACGGACTGCATCAGATGCTCCGAGGGGAACACGAATTGAAACCGCCACTGTTCGATGACCCGGCCAGAAATGACCCCCGTAAGGCCCCAGTTACAAGGCAATAAGGCGACAATGGCGCGGAGGTTTTGTCGGCGAGGAATGAGGGCCCGGCCAATCAAAGAGAATTGGTTGACTTGGACCGCTTCGGAGCAAACGTCGATGGGGAGAGCAATTGGTTCGTCGTTAATCCCAAATTGAGATTTTGGATTGCATTGCGTAAGTTGTTAGCCATTTTCTGTGGTAAAGGTGAGAATTTTCAGTAGCAAAGTAGAAACAGTGAGATTGAAAGGGTATGAGGGAGATGATGAAGATGAAGTACATGGAGAAGGTATTTATACTTATCTCGATATCGGAAGATGGAGATCCACAATTCATCGTAAAGGCCCACGAGATCCACTACGGAGTTGGACAATGTGGTGATGAAACCGTCAAAAGACAGATTCACGACCGCAGTGAGGGTGGAAACCGTCCTCAAAAAGAGGAACGTGATGATAGACGGTGGTAACCGCCAAATCGCCTCGAAATCGCCTTAAGACATAATATTGATGATTCTTGGGATTTTTATTTCTTTTTTAAATTTCTTGTTATTTTAAATTTTTATCAATATTTTGGATTAAAAAAAAAAATTGTACATAAATAAATTGAACATTCTTAACAGAAAGAAAGCATGAAAGAACAAATATTTTGCTTACATTTAAAAATCTGAAGGGGAAGACAATTCATAATTCAATAGTAGAACCTAATCAAATCTCGCCTAATTAGAACATGCGGAAAGTTCATGTTAGAGAATGGCCCCTCCTTCAAATTAACTAAAACCTAAAAAATGCATAAAAGTACACTAAAATCAATAATCCCGTAACACCTGTCCTAAGACTTCATTTCTCAAGTTTCTGTGGTACGATTATACTCAAGAAATAAAAGCTTTGCATTGGAGACAAAAGAAATATAATTTAAACTTAAAACTCATAAATATATCTCAATAAACATAATAAATCTATTACAAAACATAGATAATAATACTTAACACATTATCTCCATTTAATACAAAATAACAATAATAAAATAAACTACAAACGGAAGAATGTCACTGAACCATCGTTGTCCACAATCTCGAACTTAGCTACAAGTCCACAGCCGCATACAATCTGCACCTTGCAAGTCGTTTGCGTATTCCACGTCACATTCACAACCGGGTGCGTGTACGGAAGAGGAACATGCACGAAGATGTGCCCACTAATCAGGACATGTGCATGCACAATGCACTTGCAAGTGCACTGGTACACTGCATCGAATGTGTTGGCATTCCAACGGAAATCCATAATTGCAGTCATGGTGGTACCTGATAAAGAAAAAGAAGAAAGCGGTTTTAATTAAATATATAGATTTTTCTTTGAAGTCAAAGATTCAAATAATCGAACTGATAGTATACTATAAAAATGTCAATACGACTAAGCTTAATAATTATTTTTAACTATAATTAATTGTAAGGAAGGTAATATGGGCTGGCTTTAAAAACAACGAAGTTAGATCTAAGGAATCCAAACAAATTATTGAGACATAACATCATAATTATTCAAAACATAGGTAAGTTACAAAATCTTTGATACTTTAGTTTAGGATCCTAAAGTTGATTATATGACACATTATATGTCTGTTTGTAAACTTGATTATATGTTTGTTCGTTAACTTACGAGAGTATGCTTGATCAATTTTGAGCAATTATACTGAAAATTTTGTTTTAGTAGATTCAAATGTATGTGCGTGCTAGTTCTAGCAATTATCTCTGTATACAATGCAATCTGGTGATGGTGTCTTTGATTTACCAATATCATAGTATAAACTATAACGAAACAAACATTAGCTAGCAAAATATGTATCCTCTGATGCTATCTATTGCTGATTATGTTAAAGCTTTGAAGAGCCACTAGGCAAGAAGACTTATTAGCCATTGCAGCAAGTATAGTTAGGGTATGGTTACTCATTTGCTACGGTTTTGGGAAGTTGAGAGGAAGACTATTGACCATGTTTATGCAATTGACATTTTTGTTATATGTATTAACTTCTTCGTATTAACTTATGATTTCCAACACAAATCAAAACACAAAACCAAAACCTGCAGATACAAGTAAAAACAAAAATGAAATTATTGGAAGGAGAATGATTGATCAGAAAGGTGTAGGAGACATCTCTTAATGTTTCACCATCAAAGTAACAAAAAAAAAGGTCTCTTACAAGAGTTATTAAAATGATTTTATTGATAAAACCAAAAAAAAACTAAGAGGTGTTACCTCTTTTCTCGCAGATCTGTGTCAAGTGGTGTGAGACTGGCGTGGGTGAAACTAAAATGACTGAAGTGAAGGGAAGCTGCTTATTTATGAAGAAACCAGGGGAAGCCCTAGTTTTGATATAATTTAAATAAAGGGTAAATTCAATTCCGAAAAAAATCGATCGCGGACAGCTGTCTTCTATAGAGCTCTGACATTTGTTTCTGGGATGTGTGTTAATAATATATTTATTTTATCTATTTTTTGCTGCAGTCGCAGGTGCTCATCCACTTCGTATGTTAATTTATGGGTCTATTTCTTAATTTTAATTTTCTCTCTTTAACATTTGACTTGCCGTTTTACATTTTCTTATATCTTTGACTTGTACTATTATTATAAAACAGTAATATAATACTTAAAAAACCAGCACCTTAATATCATAGTATCATGCAGATGCAGTCAATGTATGGTACTCAGAAGATGTGTTGGGGAACAAAAGATAACTCGAATATAAAAATATTTTGCAAATGATCAGACTCTCATATTAATTCTGGAGTAATGAAACATCAAGCACATTAAATTAATTTTTGCTTGATAAAATTTAACATGATCCTGAGAAGATATTCGTGGGATCGAGGTGCTGGTACAATTCAATATGGTTGACAGGATGTGGATGCGTCCACTAGAGCTATGACTAGATGGTGTCACAATCATTTCTTGGTAAGCTCCATAAATTTTCATGTCTACCTCACAATTTTTGTTGGAATTCGTGTTTAGAAAACGAAAAACTAAATTAGCTCTCAGAACAACAAGAGGAAGAAAAGTTGTACATTATGATTAATTCATTGGTTTTAGCTGTGCAGAGCCTACATACTTATAGGCTTGGCTATAGCTGAATCTCTTAACATAATACTTCTACGAACGTTTCTTAAAAATAGCAAAAGGAAAAGTAGTGTATAGTTTTTTTTTGGTCAGCAACTAGTGAATAGTTAACCTAACTAAAATATAAGGGAAGTTGATGAATAGATCAAAATATAATATCGGTGATTTCTTGGATATGATTCGAGCTTCAAACTGTATCAAATGAGGATTTCTATTTTACATATAGTAAGTAATAAAATAACCATAGTAAATGATGGTGCACGTCATCATCGTGCAGAGATAAAGTAGCGTGTTTTAGCGTTCCGCAGGGTTTCTATCGTCTTCTTACGTTTTGTATCTGCAAACAGAAGGTACATTTCTTTAATTTGCCTTTACTATCTCTCTCTCCTTTAAATTTAAAGCAAGCGATCAATAAGTTGGGAAACAGAAGCTGCAATCCTTTCCTATGATCTTCTCTCTCTTCTTTCATCTAAAAATAAATAAAATCCTTTTAATATATTCAAGAAAAAAAAAACTGTAAGTGAGGAAAATTTGATGACGCATCATATAATTTCATCTATACAAAACTACTTTTTTTTTTTGGGCAATTTTTATTTTGCCATTTTAGACTTTGTGGGTTTAAATTGCATTTTTTAGATTGGAAGATTGATTTGCACAAATATATCACT